CAGCCACACAGACAGTGTACGTGACACAGACATCCACACAGACAGTGTAGGGGACACACAGCTACACAGACAGTGTAGATGACACAGACACACACACAGCCACACAGATAGTGTAGATGACACAGACATCCACACAGACAGTGTAGGGGACACAGACAACCACACAGACAGTGTAGGTGACACAGGCTGCCAAACAAACAATGTAGGGGGACACAGACAGCCACACAGACATTGTAGATCGCACAGACAGCCACACAGACTGTGTAAGGGGACACAGACAGCCACACAGACATTGTGGGGGAGACAGGTAGTCACACAGACAGTGTACGGGAACACAGACAGCCACACAGACAGTGTAGTGGGACACAGAAAGTGTAGTGGGACACAGACATGCACACAGACAGTGTAGAGGACACAGACAGCTACACGGACAGTGTTGGGGACACAGACAGCCACACAGACAGTGTAGTGGAACAGGCAGCCACACAGACATTGTAGGTCGCACAGACAGCCACACAGAACGTGTATGGGGACACAGACACCCACACAGGCAGTGTAGGTGACACAGACAGCCAACCAAATAGTGTAGGGGATACAGACAGCCACACAGACTTTGTAAGGGGACACAGATAGCCACACAGACATTGTAGGGGGAGACAGGCAGACACACAGACAGTGTAGGGGACACAGACAGTCACACAGACAGTGTCGGGGACACAGATAGCCATACAGTGTAGGGGGACATAGACATCCACACTGACAGTGTAGGAGACACAGACAGCCACACAGACAGTGTAGGGGACACAGACAGCTACACAGACAGTGTAGGGGGACACAGACAGCCACACAGACAGTGTAGGGGACACAGACAGCCACACAGACAAGTGTAGAGGACACAGCTACACGGACAGTGAGGGGACACAGACAGCCACACAGACAGTGTAGGGGACACAGACAGCCACACAGACAGTGTAGGGGTCAGATGTACACAGACAGTGTAGGGGACATAGACAGCCACACAGACAGTGTAGGGGACACAGACAGTCAAACAGACAGTGTAGGGGGACATAGACAGTCACACAGACAGTGTAGGGGGACATAGACAGCCACACAGACAGTGTAGGGGACACAGACAGTCACACAGACAGTGTAGGGGGACATAGACAGCCACACAGACAGTCACACAGACAGTGTAGGGGGACATAGACAGCCACACAGACAGTGTAGGGGACACAGACAGCTACACAGACAGTGTAGGGGACACAGACAGTCACACAGACAGTGTAGGGGTAGTGTAGAGACGGCGTCACTGCCCGGGGTTGCCTCCAACCTTGGCCTTGCATTCCTGGCATAGCGGCGCGCAGGCTCGCTTCTCGCCTCCACTAACACACTCTTTATAAAACCTGTGCCGCACTCGGGCGCACTCTGACGCACCCTAGCGCACTCCCCCGCCCAGGAAACTCACTTATAACTCTTTAACAATTGATATCTTACTGCTCATTCACGTCTGCAAGGCTTAACTTTCAATTGTAAATTAATTATACCTCTATGAGTATTGGTAGTTGCCAGTTAGCCAATATCTGCGTTATTTATGTTCTGTTTTGGGTGAAATTAGACTAAGTAAACGTTTAGGTGTGGCTCAGTAACTTTCTGATATATTTATAATTTTCTTTTGCAGTATTTTCAATTATTTGGTAGAAGATTCGAGGTGAATTCAGTTATAATTGTTGATATTATCTGTTCCGGGAGTTGGGGAAGGTGATGGTGGTGGTGATGATTTTGGTGGTGGACCGGTGGTGATGATTTTTGGTGGTGGTGGTTGTAATATTGGTAGTGGTGATGATGGTGGCAATGATAGTGGTGGTGGTGATGGTGGAGGTAGTTGTGGTGTTAGTGGTGATGATAAAGATGGTGGTGGCGGTGTTGAAAATGTTGGTAGTGTTGGTGGTGGTGATGATGATGGTTATGATAAAGATGCTAATGGTGGTGGTGATGTTCGTGGTCTGTAGCTCATTCTATGTATCACTGTATTACACTGTATCACTGTATTACACTGTATCACTGTATATCCTGTACTAGTGGGTTCAAAGTGCTGTAGCCACACTGCCTCTGGGACCCAGTTTCACATAACACAGTGTAAACGGTGCCAGTATGTGCAGGATACACACCTGTGCAGGATACTGACCTGTGCAGGATACTGACCTGTGCAGGATACTGACCTGTGCAGGATACTGACCTGTGCAGGATACTGACCTGTGCAGGATACTGACCTGTGCAGGATACTGACCTGTGCAGGATACTGACCTGTGCAGGATACTGACCTGTGCAGGATACTGACCTGTGCAGGATACTGACCTAGTAATGTAAGCAGTACAGTGACCCTGAGCTGTATTGGTGTACCTGTGTTTGTTCTTGTACCTGTACCGTCCTGTACCTGTGTTTGTATGTGTACCTGTACCGTCCTGTACCTGTGTTTGTATGTGTACCTGTACCTTCCTGTACCTGTGTTTGTTCTTGTAACTGTACCTTCCTTTACCTGTGTTTGCATGTGTACCTGTACCTTCCTGTACCTGTGTTTGCATGTGTACCTGTATCTACCTGTGAATGTGCTTCCATGTGTACTTGTACGCTTGTATGTGTACCTGTACCTGTGCTTGCATGTGTACCTGCACCTGCTTTTGCATGTGTACCTGTATCTACCTGTACCTGTGCTTGCATGTGTACCTGTATCTGTACTAGTGCATGTACTGTACCTGCCTCGTATTAGTACCTATAAATGTATATATATATGTATATATGCACTTATAATTGTGTGTGTACCGTACCTGTAAATATTGTATACCTGTACTTGTACCTGTTTCAGAACCTCAACCAGTACAGTCAGTCTAAAAACTATCGTTACTTGAGGGGGTCGATGAATTCCAGAATGAACACTGTGACTCCTGTTGTTTCGGTAAGGTTGTCAAAATCCTTCGTCCATTGCGTCATATTTTCTCAACACAATTTTATCAAGATTTTTTTTTTTTTAGTGACTGTACCTCTAATATATTCACGTGTGTGTGTGTGTGTGTGTGTGTGTGTGTGTGTGTGTGTGTGTGTGTGTCATATCATTCTTTAACACTGAACTTCAACTTGTACCAAAATTTAGTTGTTTTGAGGTATCGTGGTAGTAATGGTTGTGGTGATGGTGGTAGTTGTGGTAGCAGAAGGTTGGGTGTAGTAATGGTGGTAGTTGTGGTAGCAGAAGGTTGGGTGTAGTAATGGTGGTAATAGTAGTGGTAGCATCGGTAGATCACGTGGGTTATCTAGAGTTATCCCTCACATTCCAACTTGCCTCACACACACACACACACACACACACACACACACACACCCCTCTCACCTGTACACTTATTACTTTTTTTGCCGCCGTCCAAATATCACACAATCGAAGGTCATTCAACAGGACTTTTATTCTTTTTGACTGGAAGCTCGGGTGTTGGTGACGTGTTGGGATTACCGCCATGTACTTTCGTTTTTTGTCCCTCTCACTCAGAGTAGGAAGGATGTAGCAATCATGTATGTTGTGTGTGTGTGTGTGTGTGTGTGTGTGTGTGTGTGTGTGTTAGATTATATTTTCGTACGAATTTGTTTGTCTTGTATTATTCTACGTCTACATAATTATATATACTGTATGGGATTTTCAGTTCATCATCCCTCGATCTGACTGAATGTACGGTACACCTGTCTGTATAGTTATGATTATTGGTGCGTTGTGTTGATACTTCTCACGTGGATCTCTAGTACAACGTCAACACACACACACACACACACACACACACACTCTTTCAAAATGTCAGACAAGCGGTGAGTTCTTAGTTCACTCAACTTATAAAGATATCACGCCTTCAGAAACACACTGTCAATATACCGAGTCATTATACTGGACGAACATTCTAACATACGCGATAAACATTAGAGTATACGCACGTCTTGCCTCATCTAGTATACCCATCCTCTCTGGCCACACCACAGAACTCACCGTGATGTTTGTCCTCATTTATAAACACAAAATATCCAAACACATATAAAAACAATTGATCTTATTAATATGTTTGTATCACATACTCGACGTAGGGAGAGAATCCAATCGTATATCCAATCCCTCAATCAGTGTTTAGCGCCTTCCAATCCCCCCGTGCAGGTCTGGCGCGCGACCCGGTGCACTGGGCTATAATGCTAGTGGTGTGTGGCAGAGCGAAGCAGCGTGACTCCCCAAGATCTCTTCGTTGCCAACTTCTCATTTTCCCCCTTAACTCTCCTGCTGGCTGGCGTATACGAACTCGGGAAGAATTCCATTAGGTGTTATATATGAGTTGTGAAAGTTATTGAGGTTATAGAGTGAGATGTGAGTTGTAATGCAAGGTGAGAGAGTGTGCAGATCATGGAAGGTGAGTGAACTGATGAAGCCAGTTGGCCACTTCTTTCATAAATCTATCTCTTATTTTCTCCCTCAGTTGTGAACACCACGTCTTGATGACATGAATTACGCGAGACGTTTACGACCAGCTGTGATAATGTTACACTGAGCTATACGCTGTCAACATGTTGTCCCAGAGAGGAGAAATGTATCCCGCCCCCACCCACCGTAAAACACAAACTAGCAACTCTGGCCAAAGGTATTCCAAGCACTCCATTAAAAACGGACTTTTGCTTTTCTGGGGTGGGTTAAGAGTGTGTG